AATATAAGTTTTATTCTAATATTATAGTCTTCAGTTTTGATTCATCGTAAATAGTTATGCGGAATTCCCGATTATTCCAAAGGAAGGAATAATCAAAATTGTATCTCAGATACAATGTTTTAACTGGATAATCATTTCTTTCTTTTATCTTTCGCATAAAGGGATTATATAAGCCATAGTAACAATAATAATAATAATAATAGTAATAATAATCTTCGTCATCAGTGTGGGCTGATAAAACAAAAACAAAAAAACTATAGAGAATGTTTATGTGTATGTTAGTGTATCAGTTGGGATTTAATGTTTAGCATTATATAAGGGGGATTTGTGGAGATTGTAGCCATTGATTGGTTAAATTCATGAGTCAATTAAAGCTAGACCACCATGGAAAACATGAAAGTACTATATAGCCTTTACGTCATAGTATATAACTCCTCAACAGTGTGTACCTACCATCCCGCCCTTGGGATTCGAACTTGGGGCCTTCAGTCTTCAGACCACTGAACCGATATCCAATGGTGTTATTATTTGAATTCAACCAATTCACAAAATCCTACCACATATAGATAGATTAAGACAAGCTTTAGAAATGTTCACTATTTATATCATATCGTCTAGTTTTAAGTAAATAACAGTTTTTACTTCCTCATTTCTAAACTGAAAATCAAAGGAATCGTATGAAGAAAAATAAAAAAATAAAAAAATTTTTTTGAATATTTTCCACCCACGTTCTCTTTTCCCTAGTGAATAAATGAGTGGATGTCAAATACAAAAACAAAAAAAAACAAAAAAAACGAATGTTACATTGTAAAATGTTGATGACACTTGGAGATTGTTGACAACTTTGTTTTCGGTTACTCGTTTATATTCAAAAGAAGAAGGAAAATGCAAACTTTTTGAATGTTTTCTTTTTATTTTTCAAGTTGTGAATTTTTCTTTATTTAATTGTCGGCAAAAATCTTTTATGAATAGAATGTTGTGTTGATAAAATGTGAATAAGAAAATGATTTCATCTGTTACATAATAGTTAACTATTGACAAATGTTCTGTTAGATTCGAGGATGTAGCATATCAAATCTCTCTTTTCATATACTCTCATATATCCACGTTTGTACAGTCACTGTCAAAGGAAGTCCTACTTACTGCTTTCTTGTGTGTGGTATTACTGTTGTTTACGAAAATGAGACGACAAAAAGTGAATGTCCGGCAATTTAACCAGGTTGATGGATATGAAGGATCTATCGAGGGGAGATGGGAAACTTTGATTCTAAACCGACCTTGTATATGTGATCGATTATCTTGAGGGAACGAATGGCGCGTCTACCATGGGACTGCACTTCCTGATGTTGGTCCATTGTCTTGTAGATTAGACGTTCAGGTAAAAGGCTCCGGGTATGGCCCACTAAGAAAACCACCTGCTTTGCTTTAGGCACTCGGGAAGTACCCCAGCCTTCATATAAATCGAATGATTTATGTGGCGCATATTTATATGATGTGTTTAAATAAAATTAGATAAAAATGGAGCATTTATTACCTACTTTGTGCTTGTTTGAGACTATCTAACATGTCCATAAGTCACAAGATGAGAGAAAATCAGTGGTCTTTACGTTTTTGAGACATTTTTGTAATCAGTACAAGTCATTGGTTCGAACTGTACTTGTTGAAGTTATTGACTTCAATGAATTATTGAGAAATCTGTTCATCCATTATGATTTGTGCGTAGATTTTCACAAGAAAATCAGGACAAAAGCAGTGATACTCAAAGTTTAACGTCTTTCTAATAGATAACAGCTCCTAATGAAGACTATTCACATATAGGACGAGACCCATATTGTACAAATTACCTTCGTACACAACTTAGATGAGTTTAAAGATGTAAAGCTTTAGATATCATCACTCACTATTAAAATATTAAATTGTTGTGCTCGAACTTTGGTATACACTGTGGAGGAAAGCTCAATGCTAGGACAAAACATCTACTCCCTTATTTATCATTCTCATTAGTTATGTTATGCAAATTGTTTCATTATTAACCTAGATATATTATTAACTGGTACCTTCTCTTCAATTAATATCAGCTGATAAGCACAATATAAACTTCATGGTATTGTGGAGTTGTTTATCTAAGCATTTCTTAATGAATCCAAGTTGTTTATTTTTAGCTTCAACATAGATTTTGTGTTCAAATATGTTGGCTACTTGACAACTAATTACAAATATTCCCCCCCCCGCCAATGAATACCATTCTATGAATACTCAACAATAATGTTATGGTTGGATTACATTAGTTATTCTTAATTGATTGATCACTGGGTGGTGATCAATGTCATGTGTGTCTAGTCCTTATTATTAGTGCAGATCGAATGTTATCGACCATGTTGCAATGTGGCCACCAGTCTAAGTGACTCGACACTGCAGGCACTATTGTAAGATTAGATGATGATTGGAGATATTCAATAGGGTTTCTTGTTGACTACCTCCAACCACCATTTAATATTAGTTATTCTTGTATAACTAAACACATTCATGTTTGGAATGGAATTACAAAGAAAATTTCTCACCTTTTATTGTTTATTATTGGGAATTGGTATTTCATTTTTCCTACTTTATTATTGTCTGTTTAACTTATGTTAGTTAGACTACCGTATAGTTTAATGTTGGATAGTTGGAAGATTATGAAAATCTTAACATCTACCATAATTCACTTGGTATTATTGTTTTACTTGTATCTTCCCATTGAGGTTTAAGACTGCAATTGATCAGTCTCTTCTATTGGCATATGTGAATCTTGTGTAGATTGCCTCGATATTGACTTAAGTCATAAGCTTTTTAAACAAACATGGATAGTGGCTAACAGTGAAATCTGATATGCACGACACAATGTCTTATTTGCGGTTTGTCAGTTGGATATGTCTGCATCCCAGAATTGATATTCACTCCGGGACTCGAACCCAGTACCGTCCGCTTAAAATACCATCGATTTATTCACTTAACTCCTGAATATTTCCTATAATTTGATATGTGAGATTTTTACCATTCTTTATAAATTGGTTTGTTGATTTGTAAAGTTATTATTCAATCTTGCCGATTCAAACATGATCATACATAAATATACATATATGTATATCATATTACAATAATCACTGAGCCTAAATATCCATAATATTGCTTTTCTTCGTCTAATTCTATAAGATAGACGATCAACAACATTATCACATCAATGAATCATCAGTATAGAGTTTAGTGGCCCGTGATCTGACTCCAATTTGATCGTAATGATTGGTTGCTATCGTCTATCCTCGTATATAATCATTGACTTAAATCGCGTTAGTTAATAACGGAATTAAATAAGTCAAATAACGAGAATGGAGTTTTGAATGCATGTATTTTGTATAATTGTTGATTAGACAAACAAACGGAGGAACGATGCGAAGATTAGAAAGCGAAACTAAATTGGCGCGCGGTGGAGATGGCTGGTTAGCCAACTTCCCACTTAACAAAGAGTTAATCAGTATTTATAAGCACATCAAGATAAATTACAGACCTGTGATGAATAACGGGATAAGAAGTGTACACACGCCCACGTGCTCATATAAAGACAGTCAAGATTGATTAGTGAATAATTTACAAGGTCAAAATATGACTCAAGTAGAATGAATAGATTGAGATGTTTGAAAGTTAGAATAAGGTATATAGGCTTAACATAATGACAGACACTACAAGCGTTTAACATTTTTTTTCTTTTAGAAAGTTAGTTTTCTACAAGATAGAATCGCTAATCCCATACTTTAATCCTCTTCCCCCCGGTCCTTTATCCAAACTTGGGATTAGCAGTTAGTTCACAGTGAAACTCTAGACAAAGTTTCAACAGTACAAGTAAAAAAAAATAGTATCTAGGATTCCATCTAATATACCCCATAAATTTCTAGACAAATTTTTTATTATTTTATTTTCAATGACATAATATTAACAACCAAAATGAGAATCATACACAATATTATACTATAAGTGTTATTGATCCAATATATAATGAATGTATTACTATAAGGTTAGACCAACAGACTTAACGATGGATACATTCATATATAGGAAAAGAGGGAAAGAGAGCAAGAGAGAGAGGAATCATTATTATTATTATTATTATTATTATTATTATTCCATTTATGAAAATATGTGATAAAAACAAAACAATATTTACAATATGAAATCCTTAATAAATATGTACATGGAAACAAGTGTTTATTACCATAACAATAATAATATGTTATAAACGTTTCTAATATTCTATTACCTGGATCCTGAAGAATATTATTAAAGGTAAATAACAACAAATAAATCAGTTTATCCTATTTACTTTATGTCAATAATAATAATAATAATAATAATAATAATAGTAGTAGTAGTAGTAGTAGTAGTAGTAGTAGTAGTAGTAGTATTTTCATCTAAAATAATCAAAACAAAGGTCAATTACACAAATAAATATAATAATAATAATAATCTACAGTACAAAAATCAATAAAAAAATCAATATCCAAATCTTATTTCATTTCACTGATGATATAAATAAATAAAAAAATAACTTCTAGTTCATATTTTGAATCATATGATTATTGAACCCCCCCTCTCTCTGTCTCTATAATTTCTTTTAACCAATCAAATTAATCTTACAGAATAACCAATCAGAATTCAAGATATTTATTTACAGAAATAATCGGTGAAAAATAAAAAACAAAAAAAAAACATTTTTTTTTTGTTATCGAAGAAATCGAAGAATTTTTTTTTATTTTTTTGATTTATATTAAAGAAGGAATTCATATCACTTAAAACAGAAAAGCGTTTTAGATTATTATAGAATGAGAATGAACATTGTCATTTTATAAGAGGACTCTGTCTCTCTCTCTCTCTCTCTATGATATATATATATATATATGAATGAATACTATTCAATTGTTTCATGAAAGTAAAGTACATAGTTTCATTTTGAAGGATCTATATAAAGAATGTTCAATGATTATAATTATACAATTAGAATGATACAAATTAATTATTCATTATATTTACCTATAAATAATAAAACATTAACACATTTTATAACTGAACCAGTTGAAATTTATTTACCAAGTATTATTACAACAACTATATTACTTATAATTATATCTATTATTGGTACAATAGGTAATAGTTTTGTTGTATGGGCATTTATAAAACAAGTAAAACAAGGTATTATATCTGGTTTATTTATTTTATTATTAGCATGTAATGATTTATTTATATGTCTTATTATAATACCATGTACATTATATTTAGATATATGGACTGGTGATACAACTGATTGGATATGTCGTATACATTTAACAATGAAAGGATTTGTTGTACCTATATCAGCATGTATATTAATGTTAATAGCAATAGAAAGATTTTTATTAATTTGTTTTATACCTGGTATACAAATGCAACGTATACATATTATTATATCATTAATAATTATATTATGTATTGGTTTATTATGTGCTATACCAATGGGTTTACATGTTCATGCAATTGATTTATTTAAACAACGTGATGAATTATTAGATTTAAATACATTAAAATATGGTTTATCTAATATAGATAATAATGAATGGTTACATCAATTACGTGTTACAAAACGATGTGATAAAGATGATACCTATATTAATGATCAATTCTATTGGTATTATCAAATTTGTGTACTATTATTATTTATAATATTATTTCTTAGTATAGCTAGTATATATAGTTTAATTTTTTTATTTGTATGGAAACATGAATCATTTATGTATGAAAAATATGGTAATTCTAAATTAAAAGGTAATTGGATACGTATACATGCTACACCAAATTCATCCGGTGATTTCAATGAATTCAAATGGTATTCTATTAAAAAACATAGATCATTACGTAAAAAATTAAAACAATCAAATGATTTATATAATAAACAAAATGAAAGACAACAATTAGAACTGGAAACTCTTGAACAACATAAACAAAGTTCTTTGGAACAATTAACGAGTTTATCACAATCTCAATCGTATTTAAAACAACAACAAGAACAACAACAACAACAAGAACAACAACAACAACAACAAGAACAACAACAAGAACAGCAACAACAACAACACGAACAACAACAAGAACAAGAACAACACGAACAACAAGAAGAACAACAACAAACTTTAGAAATTCATCAAACTTTCACAGATATAAAAACATCAACAAGTTTTATAATATCAAATTTAGATAGAATAAATTGTGTATGTTTATGTGAAACAAATAATCGCAATGAATTGATTCCAATGAATTTATATTCAACTTATCATGATCAATTATTAAATAATAATAATATTCATCCAAATAATGATAATGAAGAGTTACCTAGTAACAAGACAATTCAAACTATGTTAGAATGCAATCATAAACCTCAATTATTATTATTATCATCATCATCATCAACAACAACAAGAATGGAATTATCTATAGTGAATTTAGAACATAAACGTAAATCACATATACGTACAGCCCAAACATTAGCATTAATTGCAATTAATTTTATTATCTCATATACACCATATCTTATTTATACAACAATACCAATACAAAAAAGACAAATTATATTATTTAAAGAGAAATTAAATTGGACAATACAAATAAGACGTATATTATTTTATATGTATTTTATTAATTCAGCATTAAATCCAATTATCTATTCATGTATGAATAGACATTTTCGTTTATGTCTTATTAAATTTTATACAAAATTAAAAAAAAAATTAAAAAAATAAATATATATCATTTGTATTTTGATTGATTATTGATTATTGATTATTGATTTCAATGAATTGATTGGATAATTCATTCCTTCATTCATTCATTCATATATATAACTTTCATTCTTATTATATCTTATTTATGAAATAACTTTATATTCATCTTATGATTATTATTATTATTATTATTATGATTATTATTGATGTAATATGGTTTCATAAATGTAAGTACTATTAATGGTTATAATTTATGATCTGAGTACCCTGTTTATGTATATTATCATGATAGAGCCAGTTAGAAAACAATCACTTATCGATTGGTTCAAATGACGTGTTAAAAAACACATAAACTAAGTCCTTATCGATTTTGCTTCTCGTTTAACCTAGCTAGTTAAGTTTAGAACATTAATTTTAGGCTCAGTGAAATGAATCTATATATATTTTATATACTAGCCAAATAGACTATATAACATTATAAATTAGGAAATAGTGTTCAAAAAGTGACTATGAATATCTGGGCTACCTGTTCCTCCCATCTAGATATTTCGTCAAGTGATCTGTTTTCTTGTTTGTTTTAACACACTATTATGTCTATTGAACTCACAACCTATTCAGGCGCGTTTACGAAAAGTTTACAACCTTTCACTGTACGGATTACAAAAATGTACAACCAGTGACATCATGGTGGTTTGCAATATGCATTGAAATGAATGAACATTATTCAGATGTCGATTATCGAACTCCTAACATTTAACTGGCCATCACTCAATATGCATCGTCAGGATCGATCAAGATATAAGAAAAGGAAACTTGTTGAAATACTTTATGCTGACAATTCAATATTGTACCACAAATATAATGTTGAATAAAGCTTATAATAATAATAATAATAATATAAGAGATAGTAATAGATAGACAAGGTAGAATTCAAGAATCATAAGTTGTATAATGATATTTCATAGATTAAAATAAAGTTTATAATGAGAAGATAATGAATATGAATAGTTTAGTTACTTAACCATTATACAATATAGTATTAGCTAGAATTGAATCCTGAAAGTTAACATTCATTATACTTATCGGAGCATAACATTAATGTTAAAAGTAGGACAAATAGTTTTCATGTTACAAATTGATTCATATTTTCATTGAGATCTTAATAACGTTTCTGGTTAGTGTTTTTTAACTAATTAGATTTCTGTGATATATGGTTGCTAACCATATGATCAACCCTTCACATAGATCCAGGCTTGGACTTGGTAGTATCTCCAGAGGGTATTCAACAGGAGTTGTTGTATGAACTAATAATAAATAGTAAATGTTAAGTTTAAACAAAATGAGTCAACTTATAGTAAAAGCTTGAAATAAACAAATCAAAAGATATTTCAAATAAACAACTAAGGAAGGAATACTGTTACCGCAGCAATCATCATTGTGGTAGTTAGACTAACAACGGATACAACATGTGATGTAAAATGATGTGTAAATTAGCTCAATTTTATGGAGGGGGGCGGGAAAGTAATTAGTTAGACCATCTTAAAAAAATATCAAGAATAAAATAATCATCATTGACTGAATTGTAATCTAGAAAAACTATTTACTTACAGTAAACGGATAAAAGGATATTCAATCTTAATTTGGAACTACTTTTGTTGAATAATTTCTCCTTTGATCTTTGAATGTAATACTTTGGAACATACATTTGTAATACTCATTCCTTCATTGATATTTACGCATATGATTACGAAGAAAACTCTTAGTTATCAACTTTTGTTAAATATCTAATGAAAGTTTTTGAAGAAAACATGTAAAACATGAATTTCCCCCCCCCCCCAAATTTATCCAAGATTATTATTCACTCACAATTGATTGATCACTGGGTAGTGACTAATGTCATGCGTGTCTAGTCCTTCTTATACTTAATATTAACTAAATTTGATGTCTTACATCTCAGTCCTACAGGAGATCGGTCGAGGCCACGATAGCTCAGCGCTAAAGTTTCTGACTATGAAGCTGGGTAAGATGAGATCGAATCTGTCAGGGAGCACCAATTCCCTCAAAGATTACAGTGCCAAGTAGCACGAAACCTGTGTCTAGGGTTTCCTGTTGACTACCTCCAACCACCATTTAATTATTATTCACTTCCTGAATGAATTAAGACTACAATCTTACGCAACCATCTAAGTTTAGATAAGAAGATTTTTTAGATCATTTCATACCAAAAAAAAATGTTATCCACAATAAAATATAGTTCTAGTGAATGAAACTCCAGGATCGATTTTGTATGTGAGGCATAGAATATTTCAAATGTATTGGATCTAGTAAATGTTCATGTGAAATAAGAAAGAACAAGTTCAACCTATTCAATGTAATAAAGTACAAGACACTAGTAACATCATTATCTAGACTGTGGTTTACATAAACATCTAGATTGTTTATTTTTCATTCGATCTGAATATTTCGACTTTGGAAGTATTTTAATTGATGGTAAAAGGGTATTAATCAGATAGGAATTTTCTTTTTTGGATATTATAATAATTTAATAGTTGAATTCATGAGTTCATTAAAGCTAGACCACTATGGAAAACCTGGAAACATTGAATGGCCGTTTCGTCCTAGCGTGGGACTCCTCAGCAGTGCGCACTCAACTGACACATGATCTTAACCATTGAAATTACTATAATATCCAAAAAAATAACCCCTTCTGATATAAATCAACATATGCTCACTAGTGAATAGCTTCAAGAGGTATTTCCTGGAGTTCTATTGAGAAACTGTAATCAATGGAGTTCAATCGGGTTTGTTGTGAGATAGTAACTCATTGATGACAGTGGTGGATGATGAAGCAATTTTATTGTTTGGTTCGAGATTGATGAGTCTCAGGTTCGATTGTCAAGAGGTGGGATCGTGGATGTGTACTACTGTGAAGTCACATACTGGGACGAAATGGCCATCCAATGCTTTCAGCTTTTCCATGGTTGTCTAGCTTCAATTGACTCAGAAATTCAACTGTTAAATGTTTCTTCTTGAAATACTTTCAATCTATACTACACAAAGAGAAGTGTTTTTTTTTTCGTTATGGAATACTGGTTTTGTAAATATGATATAAACATCTTAGTTAGATGATATATTCAAGATGATAATGAAATGGTTCCTAAATTTGTCGCTAGGATAATGTAAGCTACTAGTACCATAGTGAACGAAGACTTGTTACAGATAACTCATTTAGGACACATTTACAGTATGTCATCGTAAATTACGAAAATCATACATTATATCCTTCATTTGCACATCTTTCATTAGTTGTCATTAGCATTCTTCTTCTTCTTCTTCTTCTTCTTCTGCTTTTATTCTAATTTCTTTCGATTTTCTTCAGTTAATTCTTCTCAATCTTTATTTTGTTTTTGACAAACATACTACTTATATCTGTCACAATAAGTATCATTCATCAGAGTATATCTGCGTTTGTAATATGAGTTAGTATAAGTGTAACTATGTAAGTTATAAACCTTTAAACGATGTTATTGATTGCATAACACAGAAATACAGTTCGAAATCTATAAACGTTAGCAACATGAACATGATCCTTTCACAAAGTCTACTGTCTTGACTCTTAGTGATTCCACTTTAATTTAAATCAGCTTTGTTACATCTATAGAGCATTGAAATCTACGTTTTGATACGCATCTACTGTTGGTTAGATAGTAGAAAATGATTGTACTTTCCTTCCTTCTCTTTTCATTCATGATCTTCTATCTTGAAAATTAAAAACCGGATCAATATAACAGTCACAGCTGAAAACTAAATGAATACAATCGGGTTAAAATGATTGTAAAGAAGTGTGGATTTTGCCAATTAGATTTTGTTATGAGAAGAGGTTGTGTGAAGATTTTAGAAAGTTTACTGGTTGAAATCATGAGTCAATTGAAGCTAGACCACCATGGAAAACCTGGAAGCACTGAACAGCTGTTTCGTCCTATTGTAGGACATCTCAGCAGTGCGCATCCACGATCCCGCTCCCCGCAAGATTCGAACCCAGGATCTATCAGTCTCGCACCAGGCGCTTAACCAACTAGACCACTGATCTGGCATCCAATAGTGTTAATGTCTAACTTCAACCAATCCACGAAGTTGCTCCACCGTACACCATAGTCCTCAGTGAGTTGATATCTCACAACTGAAGAGTTCCATACTAGGACAAAACGGCCGTCCAGTGCTTCCAGGTTTTCCATAATGGTCTAGCTTCAATTGACTCATGATTTCAACCAGTGAAATTAGATTTTAATCAGTTCTACGTGTTCTTTGTGTAGATTTTGTTATTCACACCTCTTTAGACATAATCATACATTGACTGAATTGAAATGGAGAAATATTACTGAAGTTGATTATTGATATTATTAGATCACTGAATTATATTGGAAATCAATACAGTTTGACAGCTTACTTGACACTGAATAACAAACTTATCTTGTTATCAAATAGTCTTCAAAACATGACAGTATCCGATTGCTTCTAATTATTGATGTCATAACATATATATATAAGCGAATAATATTGTTTTCGATTAGATCCTCATCAAGCTTTACTCTAATATACATATACAAAATTTTTGATTGAGATCATGAACCGATTGATGTTAGATCACCATTGAAAACCTGGAAGCACTGGACAGCCGTTTCATTTTATTGTGGGACTTCTCAGCAGTGCACATCTACGAGGTTAGACATTAACACCGTTGAATGCCGACCAGCTCAGTGGTCCATTAGGTTAAGCGTTCGAGCCCGAGACTGAAGGTTCTGAGTACGAATCCCGCAAGAGCGATCATGGATGCGCACTATTGAGAAGTCACTTAATAGGATGAAATGGCCGTACAGTGCTACCAGGTTTTCAATGTTGGTCTAACATCAATCGGTTCACGATCTCAATCAAAAACTTTACAATCTCCACAACATCTAAATTAATACACGAAATTAATAAACCGATCAAGATAGTTTATAAGTTAATGATGATAACAATGAAAACGATTACATAATAAGAAAGATTAGTTCAGCGAAGAGTTCTCCCCTTTTCGGTGAATTCATTTTCAAAGCCGTACAATCTCAAATATGTATATATTTATTTTTACAGGATGATAATAATACTGATAATAAACTTCTATTATACATGGTAACAGTGAGGTTAAATAAACA